GCCGCGCCGGTCCCTTGCGAGTCGGCCGCCGCCCCCAGCCGGTCCCCCTGCGGCGCGCCCCCTCTGGCTTTGGGGGCCGAAGGGCGGAGGACCGGCGGCGGGGGGGCCTCCTCGGGGGAAGCGGGGCTGAGCGGCGCGCCGCTTCCGGCTCCCTTCTCCTGCCAGAAGAATCCGGTGACCATGATGAAGGACTTGATGTTGGGGTACGGCGCGGAGAGCTCGCGCAGCAGGGACACATAGTGGAGGGCCTTGTAGTAGTGCAGGAAGGAGATGACGCACAGGCCCACCGTGCACAGCAAGAACACCCTGTGCCGCCGCATTTTCATCCTGTAAAACAACAGGCCAAGAGACCGCTTGTGACCAGTCGCTGGAGTCGGTCGGGTGAAAGAGCTCAACCGATCCTGGGTTATTTAGACCCAACCCGCTGTGTTGAGGATTTGACCCAGATTTTGCCCCAACAAAGGTCAATCAAACCATATATGAACCAGAAATAGATATATCAAAAAAAAGTAAAGCGACCACGAACGGGGTTTTCAATTTTGCCGCACCCGAAAAACAGTTGGGTCAAAAATAACACAAACTGGGTCAAGAGGTTTGGGGAAATGAATTCCAACCCAAAAGTTGGCTTGATGGAATAATGTCACGCCAGGTGCAGGATTTGGACGCCGAAGCCGACCGGAGACGCGAGCGGCCGAGCGGCGGCGTCTTGATAGCCACAAATTCAAAGTGAAATCAAAAACGGAGAGCGGGGCTGGAGGCCGAAGGCACGGAAGGGAGCTGCCGCTCGGACTGGCACGAAGCTACTCAGAGACAGGTGACCCGGTTTTCCAAAAGAAAAAAAAAAAACAACTCTGCGCTTTTCAGTGCGTCCGACGGCACGTGTGAGCGCGAGCATGTTGATCTCACAGTTTGGTTCCACGAGACACTTTTTGTCATCGCGTCAAAAACACATCGGGACACATCACGTCACTCGCATTAAGATTTGCTGCTGTCCTTTTACTTGATCATTTTTGCGGAGGTTATTCTGGGACACGTTTATGGACCACACCCTGAACTGAATCGTCATCGAGTTCCATTTGCGCGTTAGCTGCACGCTCAATTTGAAACCAAAATCCCGTTTTTTCAATAGAGGGATGGTTAACAAATAAAAATAAAAAATAATTTGATTCATTTTCGAAATTATTTTTTTCTTCCCCGATTTTTTTGCGGAAAAAAATAATCGTCGCATGAATCAACTTTGAAAAGAATCATTAGTTGGGTCCTGAAACACAACTTGGAACTTCGACGACATACAATGCACACTTTTTCACTCGAGACTTTGGATGAAATGTTTTCAGATTGGAATGCAACACGGATGTGAAGCACCTGTCGGAAACGCAGCTTCTACAAAAAGATATTCACACTCACGGACACGCACACACTTAAGGGAGCCACGTCAGCAGAATTGGGGAGGTGCAATGATGAAGGATGCAGAGTCCTTCTCCAGCCTGACAGCTCAATAAAATTCAACTCAATGTGTGTGTGTGTGTGTGTGTGTGTGTGTGTGTGTGTGTGTCCCACCCCAATCCCCCTTCTTCGAAAAACCACAGCAAGACGACAAAGCATCTGAGTGCCTATTCACAACCCCCTGCCGGAGTCCGACCACATTCACTGACCTCAGCTAACGAGCACCCATGAGGTGGGTGTTGGTGGTTGTGTGTGTGTGTGTGTGTGGGTGTGGGGGGGGGGGGTACAGAACCCAAACCAAACCGGACATAGCCGTTGCTCCCAAATATGGAATGAGCCTATATTCAGATCGGATAACGGTTAGCATGCGAGCCGCTCACCGGCGTGAACGACAGCCGACTCCAAATCTCGGGGGCCACGGCTCCCACGGCACTCACCGGTCCAGGCCGTCGCTTTTAAAGCAACACGCATTCCAAGTCGCATTCGTTCGTTCGTACGGATTCTTTTTTTGCACTTGCTTCGATTTGCTTTTGTTTGTAGTTCAGCAGGGCAAATGAGAATTAGTTAGCAATTAATAAACCAACGATCTCGATATGTCACGATTCTGTTTTTGTTTAGATGAGATTCGGTTTCGCCTCATTGTTCATTGTCGCGGTTCTGTTTTGCTCCAGCGTCGCCCCTGTTGGCTATCGTGTCCTTGGCTTTTTCTGTTCAAAGGGGTTGACCGCTCTCGCTCCGGAAATTTTTTTTGTCATCGGCAGAGACGAGAGGCTTCGTACCTGCGTTGCATTCGTCTTCCCCTTTGGCGTCCTGCTTTGTCCATCAACTGAGCGCCGCCCGTGCAGGTGCCTCTTCTGTTTGCAAGTAGCGGGAGGTATTTGGAATTGGGAACTTCCTCCTTCTCACTTCCCCATAGTTTTCTTTTTGCGATGGAGGAAGCAGAAATTGAGCAAGGCAAAGTGACTCAAGCCGCTGTCGTGGACGCCCGCAGTCAATATTTGAGTTGAAAAGGCTGTGAAAAGAGTTGATCGAATGCAATTTTTTGTTGATGTTGCCAACACGAGGGTCGCTTTTGTGGAGTATTTTGGACGGCCAATCAAAAGGCAGCGCTTATAGACCTGGATTTCGGTTTGTGACACATCATCCTGTCATGTCAGAGCACATGCATTTTTCATTGCTTTTATTTCGATCTGGCTCTTTTTCTTCTTCTTCTTCTTCTTTTTCTCGCAAAGCTTACGGGTCAGCGGCGGGCTGAAGCAAACGTGTGGCGAAAGCCTGCGTGCTAAGTGAGTCCTAAATAATGCACGCATGTTGAGTGTGTGCGCGAGCCGCAACATTTGGGCTGCATCGGCGCAGTCTGGTTCGGCAAAGGTGAGGATGATGATGATCCGCGGATGTGTGCCCTCATGAGAAAATGGTCATATTTTGGTCAAGTGAACAAAAACGCCTTTCACGTTGGTAAAATGTTGACAAGAATATCATATTACGTGATGACCGTGAGGATTAGGGGGGACATCTGTATCTTTGAATTGAGTTGTCAATATTTTTGACCATGAATTGATTGAGAATCAATGTACTTTGACGGTTGACGAAATGTACTTTGGTTGTTACCAAAACAATGATAACTGTGCTTTGACGTCAGCTGTTTTTGCATTTGTTTCCTGCTAATATTGCCCAATTTTTAGATGTTTTTTGTTGTTGTCATTGTTAGTTGCAAACAATTAATTGATTACCTGTCGCACCGATAGTTTTAGTGTGCTGGGGGAAAAAAAAACACTGTGCGACAACAACAGCAATTCTGCGCAAACGACAAACAGGAAAGCTGGAAGAAACCGACAGGAACTTTTTCCGGTCATGCCGCACGCACGAGTGTTTGGACCGGCCAGGATCTGCCGAGTCGGTGCAAAAGTGGCTCGACGGGCTTTGTGATGCAAACCACACCAAGCACAGCTGCGTGTAAAACTGTGTCTTCATTAACATAAAAATAAGTCAAACTAAAACACACACACACACACACACACACACACACACACACACACACACACACACACAAAAAAGGCAAGCAGTGAGGCAAAACACGCAAACAAGGGTGGGGGGGGGGACGAGTGATGCGGAAAAAGAAGAATCTGAAGCGAAACATTCAAAGTAACATCTGCTGTCCGTCTACCGGGACTCATTGGCGCAGCGGAATTGAAAGCCATCCGCCAAAGTCGTCAAACGCCGACGACCGAGGCCTCGACGAGTCAACATCTCAAGGTCAAAGTCGTGCTTCGTGTCACGACAGTGGACAAGTTACACGACAAAAGCAAAACAATCCCATTTTTGGTCCAAAAGCAACAGCAAAATTTGGGTTGACAACTAAATAGTAGGCTTAAAAAAAAAAAAAAAAAAAAAAAAAAAAAAAAAAAAGGGACGGATGACCAAAGATTCACACAAGATAATTTCCTTCAAGTTAGATTGTAACGAAATGTAAACCGTATGCCAATGATATGTGGAATTGAATATCCAAAAATGTTTTCCTTCCATCAACAACCTTCAACAAGACTAATACGCAAAAAAAAAAAAAAAAAATTATTGTGTGTAAAGCTCAAGTTGTGTGGAAATCGCTCAGCTGTACTTTTAATTTCCTGCACTTGACATTATTTTGTGTGTGTGTGTGTGTGTGTGTGTGTGTGTGTGTGTGTGTGTGCGTGCGCTCATGTCCTGGCCAAGCGTGAGAACAGACAAAGTAGAAACGAGCCAGAAGACAACCGCATCTTGTTAGGCATTTCTACCACGGTTTGGTTGCGCCGAGTGCTCCTCCGAAAATTGGCGGCCACACAACTGGCGACGAAGAACTGAGTCGAATTACACACGGAGTCCGTGTACGCTTCGTGGAGCCCCCCCCCAGCCCCTTCCCCCTTCCTTATAAAATGCCGCATTGTGTGACGGGACCACCGAAGCCCGCCGAGAGCGTCTCAGGACAAAAGTGCCCTTCTTCTTCTTCAACTCATGAACAAGCCTCCCAAATAATTCTGCCAAAAGGGAGCCTTCCCTTACTCAACTGCAGAAGGGGGGGGACTGGTCTTGGACATCCTGGGATCGCCTTGACCGTCCAATCCGATTTCTCTGTGGTCAGCCTTCTAGTAGCCCGTAGCCACTGGCGGAGGGGGGGGGGGGGCAAACTCGTGGCTTTTGCATGTGCACTTTTAATCCAAGGGTCTCAAACGGGGCCGCTTTGCTACAACACACCTGGTTCAAATGATCAGCAGGAAGGCAGACCCTTGTTTTGCACCCCTGATTTAGAGGAAGGTACAGAAGCAATTTTCACCGAAATATCAAATCGCTGATGACCACGAGCGTGCGATGGGATGACTCCCACATCATCCGTACGTAGCCTCTGGGGGGGGCATATTTTCACATGGACCTCAAGGGCGGCCGGCGATGATGTAGCTCCGCTGACAACTTCGTTTGCACTCACGCAACTTTTCGCTGCACGTCCACACACAGTGCGTGTGTGTGTGTGTGAGAGAGAGAGAGAGAGAGAGAGAGAGAGAGAGACGGAGGAACAAGACTGCTTTTGATTCCTGTACAGTGGCCCTCATTGTATGAGTGTGTCTTAGGTCAAACCTCGGCCCAGTCACTCAACATGGTGTGTGTGTGTGTGTGTGTGTGTGTGTGTGTGTGTGTGTGTGTGTGTGCGCGTGTGTGTGTGGCTTAAAAAAACTTTCACAACAAGTTGTATCTAGCTAGCCAGCTAGCCAGCTAGCTTTGTATCCATCGAGATGCTGCTTTCAGGGAGCATCTCAAATCAAAGATTTGTGTTTCCAAATGTGCTCAAGGGAAGAAAGTAAAGCCCCTCCCCCCCAAAAATATGAATTGCGGTGAAAAACTGGCAGAGCGCTTGAAGCAGTCTGCCAATTGCAAGCCAACATCTTTGAGGAGCAAAACAATTGGGTGATTGCCCCAAAAGGTCCTCCAATGCCAAAGGATGGATCCAAGCCTCCCTCCAATGAAGTCGGCTGTCATCTTAACTCTTGAGGAAGAGTTGACGACTCCCGTCACCAAATCGATTTTGTCAATCAGCCACCCATCCACCACCCGCTTGGAAGCCCGGCCGGGGGCTGCCTTCTCGGAAGCTGGTTGCCCTCAACAAGGCAGCCCTGAAATGTTTTGGCCATGACTCCGTCAGGCGCGGCCTTCGCGAACGCTTTCAAGCTGACGCTTCGCCCTCACCAAAGTGATGTTCAAATCAACTCTCATCCATCCGTGCACTGAAGCAGGTGCCGCCTTCAGGCGAAAAAGAAAAAAAAAAAAAGCAGCTTCCCTTCACCGATGTCCTCATCAAATGTTACAGCATCCATCCAACCATCCCAAAACAACCCCATCTGGGTCATTTTGACCCCAAACAACCCTAAAAGTTGGGTCGAATTGACCTAAAGAGTGGGACGGTTCCCTTGATGACCCAGATTGGCTTATTCGTTTCGTTTTTAGAGTGATCCATTGTGAGCATTTTTGCCAAATGAAAAAGGGTCGTTTCGCCACCAAGTGACGCGACACATTTGCAACCCGGCAAAATGAACGTTCTCGTGACAAGCTATTCGCTCACTTTTGATGATGCACGCACTGAACAAGCTACGATTGAGATGACTGACATCTTTCTGTTTGCATTCGTGCTCTTCCGTTTATTTCTTTTATTTTTTTATTTTTTGGGCTGTGTGTGTGCGTGCGTGATGACCAGCCGAGATAGCGCAGCAGGAAACATAATGGCATCCATTCACTTGGCATTTTGGCAAATAGTGCTGAATCATTCCTGTGTCCTTGTGTGCGCGTGTGCGTGTGTGTGAGACACACACACACACACACTTAATCATTAATAAAGTCATTTGGAGGCGCCGTGACATTGAAGCGAGGCCTCGACGCTCTTTGAACAATTTTTACACGACTCGTCGCGTCAGGCCGACAAATACCGACAGGGAAGAGCACAAATTTGGCGCGCTTTCAGACTTTCGATCGATGAAGACGCTCGCTGGCTTTAGCAGTTAGCATTAGCACCAAATCTCAAGGAAAAGTATGCGTTTAAATGGCCAACATGAAAATGGTAACTCGCAACCGCAATGGCCGACGTTCTGTGTTTGTTCAGTTCATTGCTTCTTGAAACTTTTTTTTTGGTGGGTCTCCTCATGATGGACATGACTAGTTAATTTCAGGTCGCAAAGAGAAAATGGCTTTGGGGCACAATTTTCAATGACATTACTTAGGTGTGTTGGGGGAAGAGCGGCCTCCTCTCCTCCGCGTGTTCGTTGAATTTCGGACGAGGAGAATGTTGGTAATCCAAATAAAGGCTGGAGTCGATGAACAGTTCCTTCGAAGCTTTTAATAACAGAATATTCCGGGCACCCACGAATTACAGACAATGGCTGCGCGTCACGAGTGCGAAGCAGGAAGAGATTCACATCATTTTTATACCATCAGAAGGGCGGTACCGAGACACAAATTGTGATATCATAACTTAATTTCGTTTCTCCTCAACTGATTCTCAGCTTGGCGCATTCCAAAGTTTGTGCGTCTTCAGTAGGGAGTATTCCAATTCTAGGTGATGATTGTTACAAGGACGCCAAGCTACACTGCGGGCATGGGAAAGTTATACAGCATGACGAAATATGAGCAGAATACAGACTTCAGGTGCTACCGAGTCAATTTATAGAGGTGGTGACCAGAACTGAACTAAACATGCTTGCCTGATTAGGTGCATTTCTCAAATATTGAGAAGATGGTGATTTAAGTGGCCTGAGAATCAAAAACAAAACAAACGGCAATTTTGCCCAACGTAACCTTCACTTCAGATCAAAGAAAGCGCCAGGCTTCCTCTGTATTCTCGGGCACGAAAGAGACTTTTGGGGAGGGGCTCCTCATGATCGACATGCCCACCAAATTTCACAGTGCTCAGTGAAACTGGCCTTGGTGCCTTAATTTTCAACAACAACAAAATCCATTGCGACTGCAAAATGCGTTACAAACGGCTGCTTCAAAACCAAAACGGCTTCTTGAGACCGGGTATGGGTTGAGCCATGATAAACAAGTCAACAAAATCTCATTCTCCGAAGCGAGACTGCTTTCAGGGGCCGACCCCCCGCAAAATTCAAAGGGTACGGGACATTCCCGAGCTAACTTCGGTCGCCCTAAGTAGATGCTAAAATCAAACGTCGAAAGCCGAAAAGTGTCCGGGTGTCCCTTGACAGCACGCCGCCAAAGGACCATGACGACGGCAACGACACGCGAGGCCTCCACAAAACGACGACTAAGGCGATTCTCCGAGAAGAATCACGACCCAAAGGGTTTGAATTCTTGGAATGTTTGCGATATAACAGAAGCGAGCGTTCGGGCCTCGCCGTGCGGTCCTGCGTCCTTGAAAAATGTTCGACACATGCTTCTCATTTCACAAGAATCTTAAGTTGTTGTCAAAGCTTTTCTGCACCAAAGATCAGAAGCACTGCGCCGCATATTTGACCAAAACAGCCGGCCGGAGGCCTCCTCACGCGATTGCTTTGAAAGCGGGAGGAGAAGAAACCCGAGTGGCGGGAGCGATGTGTTTGGACAAATCGATTTTGGCCGACTTTTGTGGCAAAGCCGGTCGACGACCGAGGAGTTCAAAGAAGCACTAAAGCCATCACGGAAAGGTCCGCTTGAATCAAGATAGCGAAGCATGAGCAGCTTCGCCCAAGCCAAACAATCATCCGTCCGGGAAACATCCGGACTGACAAGCGGTCACACTCTCGTTGCGACTTGGAAAGAAAAACGTGGAAAGAAGCCGGACTGATTCAAAGGCAGATCCTCAAAACGCAGGTTCTGCCCCGCCGTGCTGCCCGCCAAACAATCAATGGGAGCAAATTGGAAACGTTCATCGATTGTCGGGGCCGCCGTCGATCAATAAACAATCACAACAATGAGCGCAATCAAAAAGCGCCTCAGTCTCACGACCATTCACGCTTATCGATGAGCTTCGCGTGGCTGGAGGCAAGTGGACTAACGCAGGGGTCCCCAACCTTTTTTGCCCCACGGACCGGTTTAAGTCAGACAATATTTTTTTTAAGGTGTGGCGGAATTAATACAACAAAATAATATGGTATGAGCTGCATGAAAACTGTGGTGTTTTTGAAATATAATAATAAACACAAGGAGCGTCTAATCTGGTCGCAACACTCTTATCGCTCTGGTAATGTTTAATGCCTTCAAAATACGATACAACGCAAATTCAAAGTGCATGAAAATGACGACTCACCACAGCCCCGAGCTTGATTTTCTGCAATCAGACGGTCCAATCTCGGGGTAATAGGAGACAATGACACCTCAAGTGTGTGGTTTATGTCCAGTCTACTTCGTAATTTTGTTTTAGTCGCTGTTGCTGCATAAACTCCCCACCTCACACAGGCAAGATGTCGGAAATAGCAACAGTGCTATTGTGGCGATCTCAGAGTATTCAGCCATAACTTTGATCCAGTTGTTTCGAACGTACTTTTAAGGCCGCCGTCATTTGCGATCTCCAAGCAGCTTTTTTACTCATGTTGCGGGCTTCAGCGTTTTGTTTATGAGCGTCATCGGTCACGTGACCGAGAAGTGTGGCTTGACGTGAGTCAAGCGTGACACAGACGGATGTAACAGAGAATCCGGTAATTTTTCAAAATAAAACACATTTCGTATTCCGAAATAAATAAAACGGAAATAAGGCATGTTCTTTCTGTGCGGCCCGGTACCAAATGCCCCGCGGACCCCGGCGGTTGGGGACCCCTGGACTAACGGACCCTGAAATGGCCGCCACAACCAAAACGGCAGACTTCCTCAGCCTCTTTTTTTTGGTAGGTCTGCTCTGAGTAGATTTCATGTCGCCTTGTGAAAACTGTCTTTATAAATAACAATAATAATACAGAGATGAATTTGAGAAAAAAAAGTGGGACGCTGAACCAAACGCAATGTCTTTTTAATTTTATGCTGACAACCCTTCAAATTGACATTTTTTTTTTTTTTTGCGATCTGACACAATCTCTAGGACAAGCTGCACAGCCACCCCAGGAAATGGCTGCTTCAAACCCAAATGGCAGACTTCCGCTGTCTTCGATGACAAGCTCATCAGATTATTTTGGGGATCGTTGTTCACTTGTGGACTCAATTTGATGTTGCTGAGTGAAAGTGTCCTGGGGGGGTGGGGGGATAAATTTACAGAATCCGGTGGTGATACCAAAACAAATTTGGTGGAGCAGTTGCCTTTCCTGGCGAGTCATCACTCTTGGCTGCCACGCTTTGCCGACATGCAATGGGTAAAACTGACATAGTTCACAATTTGGCATCGCCCGTCCGTCTCGTGCACAGTACGAAATTCAATTTGGGCAGAAAATGCCGAGGAGGACGCCTGGGACCCCACCCCCCCAAAATAAATTCAAAATCACTACAATGGCCACTTTGAACCAGCATGGCAGACTTGTTGAGTCTCTTCGGACATGGCGTCTTGAGACTTTTTTGTGGGTTTACTCACGTTGCACATGCTTACCAAATATCATGCTGCTAAGGGAAACCGGTTTTGTGGACTGGATCTTAAATCGAAGATCCCTCGGAAGTGACGAAAATGACCCTAAAATAGCCGGTTTTGAACAAACATGGCAGACTTCCTGTGGCTTTTCAAGCACGGCATCTGGAGACATTTTTGTGGGTCTCCTCGTGAAAGACATGCCAGACAAATTTCATGCAGCGAAAGGAAAACACCTTCGGGGGTTGAATTTTCCAAAAACTTCCAGGGGTGCGCTACTGAGCCAAATTTGCTTTTACACAGATGCACCCACACACACACACACACACACACACACACACACACACACACACACACACACACACACACACACACACACACACACACACATTTATTTTAATGAGTCACTCTCCTGGAATTGATGTCGAGTTCAAACAAGAATCAGAAAGCGCATCTCGGCTTCCCTGCAGGCTGGTGGGTGGGCAAAACAAGTGGAGGAAACGATACAAACAGGCGGGAGGAGCTTGGTACAGCGAGTAGGCACGCGCGAGTGCGCGCGCGTACCACAACGTGCACACTGACACTTGGATGAAAACATGGGGGTGAAAAGCGGCAGAATTCAGGGGCTTTCCCGAGCAAAATGAGGTGAAGCAAAGCTTTTGTGGCCATTTGAGGAGTGCCTACTTGAATGTGTGTGCGTGTGCGTGTGCGTGTGTGTGTGTGTGTGTGTGTGTGTGTGTGTGTGTGTGTGTGTGTGTGTGTGTGTGTGTGTGTGTGTGCGC